GCATAAATATACATCAAGGATAAAATATAGATTTTATTTGACACAAATAAAAACCATAACCTAACTTAATAACAAATAAGGGTAATAACTAACTTAGATAAAATAATATTATCAACAATAGCTTTAAAATAAGATTGAAAATTTTAATGGTAAACAACTTCAAGCCAAGTCACATCAATTTAGAAGATGCATAGTTTAAGATTGGAGTTACCGGAAAATGTAAGCCCACTAACTAAGCACAACTCGACAAAATAATAGAAAAATAATGCCCACAAATTCGTTGCTAATTTGCTGCAGATGTTATAAATTGAAAAGGTTTAGCATAAATTTGCACAAACAATCACAATAGATCAATAGAATTCCATCAAAATTTGCTACTCAATTCAATAATTCACAATTTAATAATAAAAAAAATTACAGTAATTTAATTGCTTATTTGCTTGTAGGCAAACTCAAATCAAAAATAAATATATTCCTTTTTCAAAAACAAAGACTCTCATATGGGTTCCATGTCTGTTGAAATCCTATTTGAAAATAAAAGCAATAGGTTGAATTTGAAACTTGCTTGCAATCGTTGATGTCGGGAATGTCCAAGAGAATTAGAGATGGCTTCCTTGCTTCTTCACGTGATCCTCATCAGACTTGTCGAAGGTTGCAGCTTTAGCATGGAGACTTCAAGAGTTCAAGTGGTGTGGTATTAAAGCTTAGGTGTGGTGCTGTGTAGCAGTGAATGCTTTTGGGGGAGTAGGCCAGAGTCTTTTAGGTAGAGCGGACCATACTTCTTATTTTATGGAGTTTTTGGAGGTTGGTCCTTTCTGACCATCCGTTTTTTGTCACCAAGTCCAGACTCCTATCTTTTTGGGTCATTAAGGACAAATTTATTTCAAAAGACCTATTTATCCTTATTTAAATACAAGTAGAAATTTTAATAAGAACTATATAAAATATACAATTCAAAATTCCAATAAAGTAAATCTCCTTTATTTTAGATCTTTCATACAAAGTTTATTTATACAAATGATTTCTTTCATACAAATGATTTCTTTGGAATAGATTCAAATTTCCTTTGTTTTAGATCTTTCAAAATTTATATATATATATACGCACACACGTATATGTACATAAATAAAGAACACACATTAGTATATTCTACTATTTTCAATGTTTTTCAACATCATATCTATTGGCAGTAACATTATGTATTTCATTGTAATCAAAACAGTAAAATATGTCTATTTTAGTATTTTAAATGTTGGCATATTTCACTGTTTTTAATTCAATGTATTTTAATATCATATCTATTGGCAGTAACATTATGTATTTCACTATAGTCAAAATAGAGAAATAAACCTATCTTATTGTTTTAAATGTATTTCAATGTCATGTCTATTGACAATAGAATTTTGTATTTCACTTAATCAAATCATTTGGTTCAATACCATATCTATTGGCAGTAGAATTTTGGCATGGGTTCTTGCACAGTGAAGCAGTATCAAAGATTTGCTCAAGAAACGGTCTCTCTCTAATTAAGACAATATCCAAAGTAAAATCATTTAAGATGGAGGAGAAGAAATCAATTGGTTCCAGATGATATTAGTCCAAAGTCATTCAAAGAATTTGTTATTATTTTATGTGAATGGGTGACTTTCATCATGACAAAGTTACTCATTTCAAGAGATTGAGTGATAACCTTTTTACTGTTCTAGCATGCCTTGTTGTATGCAAATTTCAACTTACCAGTTTTTTAAGAAGAGAAAACTACGAGATAATCGAGGTGAAGAAGGATTTTTTGGGATTTGCTTATGGGTATGAATGGTCAAGAATTTGTAGTTTTTAACAATTTTTTTTATTTTTTTATTTCAGTCCATTTATCCAAGAGAGGCAAAAAGTGGACCTAATTTTGTTTATTTTAAAAAATCGAGGTGGGCCCAAGCCCCTCGCTGCTTCCGCCTCCGAGTAGAGTTGTTTGACATTGAACATTATGTTAATTGAGTTTGTTAGTATTGGGAGGTGTGTAACAAAGATAATAATTTTGAGGCAAAAAAAATTAATTTGAGACAAATTTTGTACCATTAGATTAAAATAGATGAAAATTGAATTAATCTTGATTGTCGTTATGTTTTCATAATTTGAGAATTCAACTTGTATCTATCTATACTACTCCAAAGCATCACTAATTCTTACCATTTCTTAGACCCAAATTTAAATTTGGGTAAAAATTAAAAATCTTATCCAATGTTATACCCAAACTTATTTTTTTTGGTTAGACCATCTAGTATCCAGAAGTCACAACAGGCTCCGACCATCTAGTATCCAGAAGTTACCATTTTGCATTGAGAAGTCTATTGAGAAAATTTCCAATCATGAGGACAACAAAGATAAGAAATACAAGGAAAAGTAAAGTAAACGTGGCCATCCAAGAGAGTTCCTAGACAAGTGGTCACCCAAGAGTATTCCCGGCTGAACGAAACACATCATGATGAGGAAAGCAGATGAGATCACCAATGAAGAGTTTGGTGCATTATTGAAGAGTCTCATCAATGACTATGAGTAGTATTTGGCTGTGAAGCAATTTTTAGAACTTGAATTCAAGGCTTTCACAGTGTTGCAATCCGGACATAATTCTGGATTAGAGGAGTCCAATGGAACCAACAATCCTCACTATGTTATGAAGATGAGATTATATGGAAAGAATCGTGAGTTCCCTTAGATTTCTACCCAATTCATTGCGCTTACCATATCTTGACTCTTACTAATCCTCGACTCCTAGTATATTGTGACCTTGTTTTTTCAATTTTCTGGTCTTTTCTATTTGATTTAGTGATTAATTTGATGGTTTTAAAGTTTCTAAGTTGCGATTTTGTTCTATTTCTTGAATAAATTGTATATATGTGTACTCTTCAATTCAACATTATATAGTTCACCTTCCACCATTTGTTGAGTTTTATAAAACATAGACAATATTATAAAAACTAAACAAATTTGTGATATTTTCATATGTAGTTGTACTTACTACCATCAATTGGATTGTCATAACAGTTTCACTGTGCAAATATGCAGGCCATATCGATAACATAACCATCTGAAGACACCTACCATGTTGTTAGAAGTCTAATGACATTCCAAACATCTTATTTATTGCATCTACAAGACTTTTCCTTTTCTAGCATCTTCAATGTCGTCGTCTGTTAGTTCTCTTTGGTGAGACACCGACAAAGAGATCTAAAGAAGAAAATGGAACTAACACAAAGAAAGCCACCTTAACAAGCTGGAATCAAAACCATACCCTCCCAATCTAGATGGCTTCCTTGCTAATAAACAAGTTGTGTAACTTGTCAAGCTAATGTCTGCAAATACATGCAATCCAACCTTCATCTCGATGACAAGTACAACCATGATGATCAAATCAAACTGTTAAGCACCTCCATATAATATGTCATAAAGAAGCTACACGACTGAGGTGGTCTTTATGGCAATCCCAGTATTTCCAAATTCTTCATGCCAGATAATTACTTGTTATTCCAATTGAAAATCTAATCCTGAACTAGTGAACTTACAATTACATATCATCAAAAACAAAAAAAAATAAAATAATTGTTTAAAATGGTTCACTTGCAACGCATGTTTGCACCAAATTTTAATATTAAATACTAGCAATAATCTGTACGTAAAGACGCTAGTTAACACAAATAAATCGAACAACAGTCGTCTAGTATAAATATTTGAAATAACAATTTATTGTTTCTTTCTCATGTACAATTATACAATTCAAAATAAATCTTATCCCACCATTAAAAAAATTGGTAGAGAGAAGAAAGAGATAGAAGAGAGAAGCCTTCGTTTAGCCTTGGTTAAAGTGAAAAGGTAAGGGGTAAGAGAAATTTGGCCTTGATTAGCGTGAAATTTTTTTTGGCTAAACAAAAATTTCTCCTCACTCTTGTGTTATTGGATTGAGTGAATCTTACTCACTTTTGTGTAAAGTTAAGTTAAAGATTCAAAATAGGTCTTATTTTATTATATAGATATGGTTTGTGATCATAGATTTTTTATTTATTCATTTACAACTATTGATTATAAAAATTATAAGATAAGATAAAATAATAATAAAATGCTATAGTTGGACTCTTTATTTTAATTTGTGTCCTATATTTGAGTGAAAGTTAACTTTTAGATTATTTTAAAACAATTTAAATTTTATCGACTATAGTTTTTTTGGGTTAATTACAAATTGTTCTTTCCAGTTATGTTATTTGTTGCAATCAGGTCCCTAAGGTTTCAAAAGTTGCAATTTTCTCCATCCAAGTTTCCAAATTATTTAAAATGGTTAATTATAAATGTTCCCTTGAACTATGAGTCTTGTTTCAATTAGCTTTCTCAGGTCTAAAATTAAAACAATTTGTCCCATTCAAATTCTAGAATGAGCAAGTTGCCTGAATAATTAACGGGTCTCTATCAAATGTAACGTTAACATCTTAAAGCCAGTAAAAAAAAACTATTTAAGACCATTATTATGAGGTACAAAATGACTATAACACCCTTCCTAACCATTAGAAATTGGCTTATTTAACTGATTCAATGTGGGTCTTTCATGCTCTCAGCTTTGTAGCCTCTCTCCCTCGTACCTCTTTTTGTTCCACGGAAAAAAAAAACACAGATTTCTACTTATCTCTCTCTCCATAGAAACAAACAAAATTACAATATTGCAACACTCGATGTCTCTCCACAGAAACACAGTCAAACCCAAAATACTGTAACATTCTATTGTTGGGTTTATAGTAGAAAATGGTTTTAAGCCAAAACTCAGTACATGCAGAAAGTGAGAGAGTTTGTTTCTATGGACTAAATGAAAAGAGAATACATCATGGACAAAGAACAACACAAGAGACAATTGTTTTCTTATTCAGATAGGTGCATGTACAATTATGTGTTGGCATGAAGCTTTTGATTTGAAAGCTTAACTTATCTTACATGAGTGAAACATGGATACGCCATCCACAAGACTATGAACACACTGTTGTGACTCTGTCACCATTATTCCTAAGGTATCTAGAGTCAAAACCATCCATAATAGCATGTTGCCTAATTAACATCCTAAATACAATAGCTGAGCTGAAGATCATTCCCAATGGCAATTTGGGATTACACATATTAGTAGCCTCCATGAATTCTTGATACCTTATATTTATTACATCATCATCTGAGTTAAGAGGGCTATATAGATGATCATTGCCTTCATCAGACAAATAATCATTAGATTTGGCCTTGCCCTCTTCCAAGCCACTCTCCCTCCTAACTCCAGAACAATTATCTCCAAGTTTTGACTTTATCTGGTCAACCCTACTTCTATTTCTTTTGTCACATGTACCCTCAGCGAGTATACCATTATAAACGTAGAGCAAGTCCAAATCTAATAAATCATCAAATGGGTCAGTAGTATATCTTACCACAGTATCAGGTAAACCATCATATAAAGTGGAACCATAATCAATTTTGAATTTGTAGTCATAGGTAGGAGTATTAGACTTATCACCAACACTAGATATATCCCTACTACCTTAAGTAGTCAGTTTAGTGACTATATACAACCTTATAATATCCCTCCCCTCATGACATGCAAACATATTCAATGCATCATTTTCAGAAGCCAATGGTCTCAAATCATCTTCACTTTATGTATCTAGTAGTATATGGTAGACTGTGTATCATGTATCTTTCTTGTAACTTAGTGTTTTGACCATGTCATCTACCTCAATTTGTGGCATCAAATCTGGATCAATGTTATCAAACTTGTTGATGTTACCTCCATTGTATCTCAAAACAGGGCTAATATCAACAAACTGCTCTCCATGTTCAAACTCAAGAGTGAAGTAACAAGCAACCATCTGTGCAAAACAACATAAATTAAGTAAAGTTTTTATGGGAGAGCACCAACCTTGATGATGTCATAAAGTGAACTAAAATGTTTGGTCTTTAATCTCAAATATAGTAAAATTTAGTTAATGGGAGACCATTGTCATTGACAATGCCATAGAGTTGAACTAAAATATGTTGGAAAAATGATTATGAAAAATAAATTAAAGTGGGACTCACACATCGAAATTAGTGGGACCATGATTTAATTATTTGTTCAGAATTATTAATATTTGAATGAGAAATTATGTCTCAAAAATTACCAATTTGTATTGGTATAATAGACTGAATTTTTGGATGTGAAGTTGGGTCGAAAATGGATTAGTGGACGAAGCAAGCAGCGAAGCCCATAGGTGGTGCCCAAGGCTTTTGGCACCTTGCCTTGCTTGGTACCTTGGCAAATGGGGCCCAAGGCCTTGGCGCCTTGGCTTGAGGGGCCCCTTCCCGTGGTCGTCTCGTCTCACTTTGCCTCATGATTTGTTATTTTCGCCTTCCAGTACTTGACCCAACTATTTTTTAAATTAATTTTAAAATTACACATCATATAATTATCGTCGTCTAGAGTGTGTCTCTGAACAGGTGTGTCGAATAGTGGCATCCCTTGCCAGTTCTGTTTAATTGAACACACGCCTGGAGTCTATAAAAGGGGTACCCCTACTGCCATTTAGAACACACCATAATTCAAGAATAATTCTTACGTCTTCCATACTTCTCTCCCTCTACGTACATATTGTTGCATCGTTGTTCTTCTTTGTTTGTTCAAGTACAAGACACAAAGTTGTGTTTATTGTAGTCTTAGAGATTGAAGTGTTGCTTCTTCAAGAACAAAAATTTGTTCTATCTTGAAAGACAATTGATCATCAACTTTGAGCACCGAGAGATAGCAAATTTGTCTTAAGGAGACTATGGATACAACACTCAAATTTATTCTTTATTTATTTTAGTTTTCTGGTTTTGATCGTTGCAACTATTCTGCATCCATGTGACTACATTATTTTATTTTAAATAGAAGGTTTTCTATTTTAGATTTGCAACAGTTATTAAGTTTCTTAAATCTAATTATATACACATTAATTAGGATAACAAAATAATACTAAAAGGTAACACAACCCTAACATTCTATAACCCACATGGTTCCCACTATGACAGAGAATGAAATAAAGTAAAAACAAAAAACTTCAAAACCAACCTCTATAGAAAAAGAGGCCCACACAAAGACAAACCAATTACATACAAAACACAATATACTCATAAAGCCCACCAATGATCCACATGGTTCCCACAATGACAAATGAGAAATCAAAGTCAAAGAAAAAGCTTTAACCCAAACTTTACAGAAAAAGAAACGCACATAAAGACAAATCAGTTGTACACAAAACACACCATACATAAGGGTGTCCATGGGCCAGATTGCCCACGGGTCCTGTTACTCGGCTCAAAAAAATATGCCCAAAATTTTATAGGCTTGATAGTTGGTCTGCTCAAGTCCGAACTCAATATCTTTTAAGGGAGGGTTTGACCCTACCCTCAAACCCATTATCCGGCCCGAAACCTAGCCCAATAGCCCACCCGAAAAATACCTGTTAAAACCCGACGCAAGAACCCTCCTGCCTAGCCTAGTCAAAATATGAAAATAAATATCTTAATGCCGGAATTCAAAGTTTGAGAAATTTAGATATTATAAATAATATATTTTTTTTATGTATTAAACATACACATTGTAAAGGAAAGAGTTGTGCAAATGATAGAATAGGTGGGTAGGTGTCAACTTAGTTCGGATGTACTCATTCTACTGTGATGCAGTTCTTCCTTTATTTATAAATAAAATTATTCATTATTTACTTTTTGTCCATTTTGACTCTACTTTTAATTCAAAAATATAATTTAAAAAAATATTAAGTTACAAAAATATTCATTATTTATAAATCAAGTTGTATATAAAAAGCCCGTCGAATAGGCCCGCTTGCAAGGCCGCTCGGTAAGTGGTTGGTTAGGCTACGGGTAGCCTATCCCTACCTAAAGCCCAGCTCGACCCACTCAATAACTCACTCTGATAAGGGCTTGTGCTTACCTTATCCAAGCTCAATCTAAAAAAATTTTCACGGGCCCAGTGTGGCCCGGCCCATGGACATTCCTTACCATACACATGAACCCCACCAATGACCTATACGAACCATATTATTCATTTAAAAACAACTCATGACCATTCCAAATACCTTTGAAGTACCATAATAGATTACCTTCAGTTGTTCTTCAAGCTCAATCGCAATTGCTTTATACGGGGAAAACATCTACAACAAGAGGGATTTGAGAAATGTAGAATAGAGTTAGAAAATAGGGTCTGATGGGTTGAAATTGGGTTAGTTCTATTTATATGATATTCTATTAGTCAACCATGGTTAATTTTTGGTGCCAACTCATCCACCATGGTCAAGGATATTTTTGAAACTTCACCATCATAGTTAAGTTCGTTAGTCAGCTTGCTCATTTTGAAACTTGAGGAATGCAAATTATTGAATTTTAAACCTAAGGGATTTGATTGAAGCAAAACCCATAGTTTAAGGGGGCATTTTGTAATTAACTATATTTAAAAATTACCCTTATGGTTAAAAAAACTACTAAATCCGTTCCAACCATTGGAATTGCGACTAAATTTGCTATTAAGACAAATGAGGTTATTTTCAAATTTGCTAATTTTGCTTCGATTGATCTCTAAAGCATCTTATACACATTGCCTCTCTTATCTAACTTCTATCTCACCCACACCTTGGTCAATCCTTTGTAGAAACAATTCTATAACAACATAAAAAATGGTCAAACGTCAACTAGAGAAAAAGTTAGTGTGTCATTGTGGATTAAAAAGTAAAATGAAGACATCCTGTATGAAGAAAAACTCAAGTAAACAATTTTATAATTGTCCCAACTACAAGAATAGGGTATGTATTTCTAATATGTTTACTTATATTGACCAAATCAAGTGGCATGTTCTATCCTAACCAACTAGTTTTATGCATTGTAGATTGTTTCATCTTGTAACTACTTTGTTTGTTACGACATAAAGCGGACAAAGAGGGAGAGAAAACTCATTAATATAACCATTATCTCGTTAAATTTCATGGTAATGCATATAAAGAAAGTCATAGTTCTTTACTGTGTTAGGAGAAGCCTACGGTAAGGAAAAAATTATAAGTGTTTTGGTCTATTTTACAAGTTGGTTGGGGGGTGATTTACAATTTTTTGGCATTTGAGATTGATCTAAAATTATTAGGATTGAGATCCCAAGTTCCCAAAAAGTTGTAACTTGACCCCCAAAATGTTTTAACTTGAATCCTAAAAGTTGTAATATGACCAAAAAAGTTATAAATTAGTAATAAGGCATAAGACAAACAACTTCAAATATGTAACATGCACCGTAAAACACATTCCAAAATCTATCTCTTAAGTAGACAATCTCAAATACATAACACTATTTGGGTTGGTTCTTCTTATCATCTCACAATAATCCCATCACTTACAATATTGCTCTTTGTAGTTGCCTTGTATGATTTCCATTGTTTTCCTTTTTTCCCCAAGTATTTGGCTTCTATTCACATAAATCATGTAATTTGTTCTTAGACATTGTTGCATTGCACTAACTTTTTAATCTGGATTATCTATCAACTTCTCAATATCATTGCAAACCAAGTAGAAGTAGCTTGTTTATTCTGGTAAATGCGTGTGCACTGGTGAATGGGCTTGAAACTCTTGATTTGAAAGCTTAACATATCCTGCGAGAGTAAAACATTAAATATGCCAATCACATGTACACACACTGTTATAACCCTATCACTGTTGGGTCTTTGTGGAGTCTAGTTTGTGTGTTGATTCGGATGATAACCCGACCCGAAATAATGTTGTGTATATTTTAAAGAGAAATTTTTTGGGCCTTATTTGTAGCCCGGTAGGCAGGACATATAAAAATTGCTACTTTGCTGTTTAGGGTTTGATTGTAACTGAAAGCCGCTTTCTGTATTCTGCTCTCTCAATAGTGAAATCCCTGTAACTTCGTGGACGTAGGCAAATTGTCAAACCATGTAAAATCTCTGCGTCTTATTCTTTCTTGTTTCTTATTGTTTTATGTTCTTGGTTTGTTCTTCAATTGTGTGTGTTTGTCTGTGAGTTTAAAGCGTGTGAAATCCCAACAATTGGTATCAGAGCTCTGAGTTAAGAGGTCAAGGGTTTACACAATGGTTGAAGACAAAGTCAAGATCAAAAAAATTCAATGACACGAACTACGCATTCTGGAAGATGCAAATAGATGATATTTTATATCAGAAGGATCTGTATCAACCTATTGATGGGACGAACCTAGAGGATATGAAACAAGCAAAGTGGGATGTTCTGGATTGCAAAGCCCTAGGGACTGTGCGACTGTGCCTCACGCTGTCAGTTGCGTCGAACATCGCCAAAGAAAAGACTACATCAGATTTACTCAAAGCCTTAGAAAATATATACGAAAAGCCTTCAGCAGTGAATAAGGTATATCTTATGAAAAAGTTATTTATTCTAAAGATATCTGAAAATATTATTGTTGTTGAACATATCAACGAATTTAATACGATCACGAATCAGTTAAAATCTACGAGTATTGTTTTTGATGATGAAATTAGAGCTCTTGTCCTTTTAACAAGTCTGCTGGAAAGTTGGAATGGACTTGTCGTGACAGTAAGCAATTCTTTCAGGTCTGCAAAGATAAAATTAGATGATGTTGTGGCGTTGATACTAGGAGAAAAGGCTCGAAGAAGAGCATCAGGTGAGGATGTTGTTTCAAGTTCAACACTTAATATGGAAAGAGAGAAGCAGAGCTATGAATAAGGGAGGCAATAAAAAGGGTAAGCAAAAGTCGTACACAATAAACAGAGGCCAAAATAAATCTCGTACTGGAGATGAGGGCTGCTGGAACTCTGATCAGAAGAGGCATTGGAAGCGGGACTGCAAGGCACCGAAAAAGGAGCAGAATGAGAATAATCAAAGAGGTAAAAATACTGCTAATATTGCTGATAAGTCTGATAATGATGCTTGAATTTGTTCGCTAAATTCTCGCAGTGAATCTTGGATTGTAGATTCTGGAGTTTTATTCCATGCTACTCCTCGTATGGATGTGCTACAAAATTATGTGCAGAAAAACTTTGGCAAAATGTATTTGGACGATGATAAAACCTACAATATAGTTGAGAAAAAGGATGTGAAAATTACTCGGACAGATGAGACGGTTATGAAATTGAAGGATGTTAGACACATGCCTAATGTAACACAAAATCTTATTTCAGTGGGTCAGTTGTTAGAGGGTAGAGTAGTCACATCGTTTACATCAGTTGCTTGGAAGATGAGTAAGAGGGCTTTGATACTTGCTCGTAGTAAAAATGAAGGAACTTTATATGTATCTTCGGGGTATTTACTGTAGCATTACAATGACAACATTAGGGATTGACTGCACTACGTAGCATCATAGGTTGGGTCACATGAGCAAAAAGGGGATAAAAGTAATGATGTCAAAGGAGAAATTGCCGGGTTGTAAGTCGCTAAATTTGCACTTCTGTGAGGATTATGTTCTCGAAAAACATAAGAAAGTCAGTTTCACAAAGGTGGCAAGGACTTTAAAAACAGAGAAGTTGGAGCTTGTTCATACTGACATGTGGGGACTATCAAAGGTATCTTCTATTGGTGGTTCATGTTACTTTGTTACTTTTATTGATGACGCTACTAGAAAATTATGGGTTTCTTTCTTTAAGCATAAATCTGATGTGTTTGATGATTTCAAGAATTGGAAAACATTAGTTAAGAATAAAACAGAGATGAAATTGAAATGCCTAAAATCAAATAATGGTGGTGAGTATTGTAGCAGTGAGTTTGATGTTTATTGTGCTGTGAATGAGATTTGAAGATTGAAAACGGTCCCAAAGAAGCCAAGGTAGAATGGAGTTGCTAAGCGCATGAATAGGATGATCCTAGAGCATGCAAGGAGCATGAGGTTACATATTGGGTTACTTAAGCAATTCTGGGCTGATGCAGTAAATACTGTTGTGCATTTGATCAATAGGGGGCCTTCAGTTCCGTTGAATTGTGGATTTCCAAAGGAGGCTTAGGCAGACAAGGAGATAAATTTATCTCATTTACATTGTCTATATGCAACTAGAATTTGAAGGATAGGGATAAACTTGATGCTAAGTCTCGTAAGTGCGTGTTAATAGGCTATGATACTAATAGCTACGAATATAGGATGTTTGCTTTTGAGATTCAAAAAACCCGCAAGAGAATTGATGTGGTATTTAATGAGTCAATTTTTTACAAAAACAGACTAAGTCAACTCAAGGAAATTGAGGTAAAATCAGACTTTGTAGAGTTTGAGGGGATCCATAACAGAAATGTCTTAGAGCCTTAGGATACTAATACACAATCTACTCCTCTTTCGATAGGTAATCAAAACACGCAGTAGTATGGGAAGCATGATGGGAGGATGAAGTTGAGTAAAATGATTGTGGCATGTTTTATACCATGCAAAGAATTCCAATCGTGGTTAAAATTATGGCGCCATTTTTTTTTCCATGGTTAAAGGGTGTTTTGAGAATGTTTTTATTTCTATCACGTTCATTAATTAGCTTTTTCATTTGAAAACTTGGTGGGGCCAAATTAGAGCGTTTGTAATCACATGGCGCTGATTGTAACAAGGAGTATGGTTAGTGGTAGGTCTGTCAATAAATCAAATTTGAACTGGATCTTAGTTGATCCAAATCCTAATAAAAAATCAAGTTATGAATTTGATTCGTATATCCAATGGATATCAAATTGTTACTCCATGTTTGAATTTGTTAATATTCGAATATCTGATCCATCAATCCGTTTCGATCCAAATCAATTGAGTACCAATTAAAATTCATTAATTAAACCTAAATTTCAAAATAATTGAATCAATCATTCACTGATTTCCAACGAATTTTGTTAAATTTCATACAAAATCCAAATATTTTAACAACAAAATGAAAAAAAAAAATAGAAATCTGATCTTGCTTGAGAAGGCTAACTGATGCAGTCTTGAGTTCTGCAAGCCAAGATGAATCCTAGTTTTTCATCTTCAACCATAGAGCTCAATCCCGTTACATATAGAATCTCGAAACACCAAAAAAATTTCGAGAAAGGAAAAAATCTCAAAACACAATTTCAAATGTTTTTTTAAAATAAAACCTAAACCACACCTATAAGCTTAATCAAAAACCCATCAACCTAAAATGTTTGTGAGGAGGAAAAGATGAGATAAGGAAAAGAGCAGAAGGCTAGAAACAAAAGACAAAGATTGAGAGAAAAAGGGGATGCAAAAATGTAGAAGAGAGAGAGGAAGATGGAGTGAATGGGAATGACAAAAGGGATACAACAAAGAGAGTGGAAGAGGGAGAGAGAAAACAACATAAAACAGAGAAAAATGGAATGGGTGGATGAAGATTTGGATGTGGGTGAAAGAGGGCTCCAGCTTCGCACAAGTGGATTTCATTTGTTGCAAAGAGAGAGAGAGAGAGAGTGGTGCGTCGCATACTCAGGTTGGGTTGGCACAAATCTTATAAATATGGAAGTAGGATTGAATCTATAATAGATCAGTTTAATATGCACCTAAATTCGATTTGAATACTAATCATTGGCATATGATACGAGGGATAGTAATGAGTTATGTCACATTGTGTCAAAATGTATTTATTATATATGATCTATGTTATATAGTAACTCATATCGTCTTAGGTATAACTTTGGATATAACTAGTAAGAGTGATAATGAGTCGTGTCATCATAAAGTTTATGCAACTCATATCCAACCTGCACATAATCACATTATAACAACAAATTTTGTGCGTAAAATTAACACAAAATAATGTCAAATTACAATTATTTGATTCGTTTAACTTTGATTAAAAATGTAATGATATTGATTCTTTTTGGTGTGCTTATCATGTGCACAAACATCTAATTCTTGATTATTTGATGAAGACAGGGGTTAGATCGATGTAGTTCTCGTTCTTTGATTAGGTGGTGACTTTGATAAAGAAGAGAGTCGAGTTTGGTGTGATTCACAATCTTCGATTTAGTGTTGACAATGGTGAATTTAAAGAAGGTGAGGGTTGGGTTGCATGTGATTCTCAATCTTCAATTTGCTGTTAAACTTTGGTAGATTTTTTCACTGTTATTCGTAAAGATTGGCTTGAAGGATCTCTTGAAGAAAGATCTTGGCGGTATATTCTTCTCCTCAGAGATGGACTTGCAAAATTCAGTTGGGGGTAGATTTTGGCAAAATTTTGTTGTTAATCTTTCCTTCTCCTCCTAAGATGAAATCACGCAGAGTTCTCCTAAGTTGAAATCAAGTAGGTTTTGTCAATCTTTCTTCCTCCTTGGCGTCTTCTACTTCCTAACCTCTCCCCTTTGCCTTTCCCTAAGCCTTCTATTTATAGAACTAGGAATAATTATTCATATAAGGGTATTTTGCCTGAGTACCCTTATATGAGTTTTATGGCTGAGGTCACCTTTGTGAAGTTTATGAACTGAGCTTTTTTTATTTGGGCTTATTAAATTTATGTCCAAACCAATTTCATTTTAGAAGCTTATTTAATTAATTTGGGATTGTATTATTTGAGCTTATAGAATTTAAAACTAACTCAATTTAGTTTTGTTCGAAAGTCATTTCATTAATTTTGGGTTAAATTATATATACTATTTTATTAATTTTTAATGTCTATACATGTATAATTGGGTTCGTGTCATGCATTAGTCCAATTCGTATCAAACCCATTTTATTGACTGGACTAAAGTGTCAACTCATTTACCACTCAAACTCTTATGAATTAAACTTGTTAATATCATGTCGAATTTAATTATCTTGTTTAAAATGGACAACCTTAATAATTAGCAATCGACTCATTTATTAGGCATGAAGCTATTCGATTAGAGCAATACTATTGAGACCTAATTTACTAACTTAATTTACTGACTTAATTCACTATGATTTTTAGTTTCACTGTGGGCTGCATCAAATATTGGAACTTGGTGTTAATCTAATGGTTCAAATGAAACTACGTTACTAGATCAACAAATTATGTTAAATTTTTAGATCTAAATAACATTTTTCATTCGATTATCATTTGAAACCATTAAAATTAAATTTAAGTCTGAAACCATTAAAATTAAATTTAAGTCCAATGATTTTATTTTAATTTCATGTTAAATTATTATTTTTAACTGGATGTTAAGTTGTTGAATCTTGTGAATAATTGTGACAATTGAAATTGAAACTTGAAGAACTCAAGTGCCACACATGGTTTTCAAGGAGGAAAGAAGTGCAATTTGCCTCACACCTATATATTACCCACGCGGAAGACTGGGCAGCAAATTCCCCAAACCCCTTTGCTACTCCTTCACTTCCCAAATTTGAAGCGCACACAACAATGCCTCGAGCATCTAAGAGAAAATCTGACCCACCAAACTCATCCTCTTCCAAATCCTCCAATGTCGATTCCGTTAGTCCTGGTAACCCCTCTTTTCCGATGGAACTCATCAAGAATTATCATATTGGTGACTATCAGTATCAAAAAGCTTCAAATTTTTTATTGAATACTTGCTCCCAAATCAATTATCATGGTTATTGGTTAACTTAAGATACGAAGCTAAATTTTATGTAGAGAACTTTTTTTCTTTTCTTTATAGTTTTTTGAGTCGTGATTAAATAATGCATTATATATAGATCATTCTTGATTGTATTGTACTGTTTTTATTGTAGAAATTTGGAGTTCTTACTAATTGAAAATGTGTAATGCAGTTTCAAAGAAAGCTAAATCGAAAGAAGTGGACCGGATAGATGCTCTTTTCGGTTCATATGCAAATCAGTTGATGGGGATGATTGAGTAAGTATGCTTTGTTTCAGTTCATCATCTTTTCCCTCTTACTGTCCACTAGCTGTTCGTAACAATGGCATAGCTTATAGCCCCCAAGTTTTATTCTAAAAAATTGGCTTGTCAGTTGTCCATCCATAATCTAGTTGCTAATTCAGGAACATTGTCTCACTGTTTTTGATTCTTCCGTCGTATATGCTGATAGATGTTGTGTTTCATATAGCCCCACAGAAACTATGTTTTCTATTTATCCACTTGATCATGGGACATTAATGTCTCTGCACTCGTAGGCTGTGGATAACTATGAAGCTGCGATATTCCATTAAAATTGAAGAATCCAATGCAATATAAAATATGATACTGCACCGGATACTCGAGTGAGAACGATATTTATCAGTTACACACAACATGAATCCAATAACACATAAATGTTTTAGATACTTGGGAAAAATGTATCCAAAGTGATTATGCTTCACATATGGAAGGGAATATGCAAAACAATATGTGGAATTTTTTATTTTAATCTTTATCCTTTTCTTTCAAATTCACTTTCGATGCAATGCAATAACTATTAGGAAAATTCATATAACTTTGAAGACACATTGATGTCTATTTAGTATTAGCTACTGTCTGTTGGAATTATAGTCTAGTTATTAACTTTTTACTTTTTTACTTTTTTGCCTTTACAATAGTTTTTATGTCTTACCCATATAGAGGGGTGCTCTGGTCAGTTGCACACTTATTTGACTATATATACCGGGCTCTGTATTCAGTTTGTATATCCTTTTTACTCTCAACAATTCTAGTTAGTATCAGAGCAGGCCAAACCCTAGCCTTCCCTAGCTATGACCCTAACCCTAACCGCCAAACTCTAGCGTAGCGTACCCTAGCCACATCACCTAACCTTAGCCAAACACCCCCGCCAATTGCTAGGGAACAGCTAGCACTGCCAGCGCTACCAGCCTCCAGCAATAGCCACTTTGCGCACTTCTGCGTGCCAGTGTCGCCAATCCGCCACCTCTTCGCATCTATCTCTCCAACAAACAGTGCTTGTGGCTCCATTTTTCCTAGGAACGAAGCATCTTAGGGACCTTTAGAGGGGTCGAAACCCCTCCATTCCTGCACTCTTGATACAGTAGATCACTTATATATTTTCTAGATTTCTTGACTCTGTTACCTATTATTTGGGAGCTTTCTAGACTTTTTTTATTTGTTGCTATTGTTCGACTGGAGGTATATTGCTCTTCTTTATTTTTCCTCTATTTATTTTAGAGTAGTTTTTGTCATGGTTGTCACATTATTATTGTTGCTATGGCTACTAGTGAGGGAGTTGAGATCCCTATCGTTAGTACTTCTATTTGAGAGGTACCACTCACTTCTGCAGGGATTACCCCTCTCACCTTTATGTTTGACCAGTATACAATACCTACTAGCACAGTTATGACACAATTATTGAATGGTCGTACTTTGCTGAGTGGTTACACACATTTTAGCTTTTCTTCAGGCGTGTTGCGAAGCTTGGTTGACTGACTGGATTGCACCCAAAGCCAGCTGATGACAACCTTGGATATTCTGCGTGGTTCTCCAAGAACTGTACTATTCTTAGATGGCTATTTGGTTCTATGGAGCCATTTGTTTACAGGATTTATCAGTTTCATAACTTTATTTTGAAAATATGAAGTGCATTATCAAAGATGTATTCACAGTCAAGTTGTGGAGTTAGTGTTTATATGATAGTTCAGGACTACTATAGTTATTTGACTTAGCGCTGGCTTGAGCATGAGACTCTACATCCTCTTGTTACTATTCTGAGGATAGAGCCCTTGAAAGCAGCATTTCTCCATACTCAAGAGCTGAAGGATAGGATTCACAAATTTTTTATAGGAGTTTCGTGATGAGTTTGAGGGACCTTTCTTCGAAGTTATCGTTGTTGAGGCTTCCTTCGCTTTATGAGGTGTATTTATGATGGAGCAGTATGAGTGCCACGTCCGTATTGCATCACTTCCAGTTGCGATCTTGACTTTTTGGGCTGACCAAATGGCCCTTGCAGTTGCTGCAAGGTCTTGCTTCAAACCCTTAGCCAGAGGTGGACAGCGTTCAGACCAACGCCGACAGGGCACCCTAGACCAGTACAGACAGGACAATTATCGCTAGTGTGATTATTGTGGCCAATCAAGATATCTTAATACTACTTGCTGGAAGCTCCATCCCGAGCTTAAGTTCTTGTGGCAAAGTTAACTACGGTTTGTTTAATTATCTCAATTATCTCGTATTCTTGGCCCCTTCATCAGTTAAATGTGAAGAATGCGTTTCTTTGTGGTGATCTGGGTGAGACTATTTATATGGATGCACCACCTGGTTTTTGTGGTGAGGGAGAGTATACTGGGAAGGTATGTCGACTGCATAAGTCTTTTTATGGACTGAAACAGTCACCACGAGCCTAGTTCTCTCGGTTTAGTAGATGTTATTTTGATCATACATATTTCATTTAACGGAATATTTATAGGTAGTGTGTCATTCTCTTGGTGTATGTAGTTGATATTATTATTATTGGGATGACGTTTCTGGGACTGCACCGATCAAGGTTAACTTTGGGAAGGCCTTCGATTTGAAGGACCTTGAATTTCTGTAGTATTTTCTTAGGTTGAGGTTGTCCGGAGCACTAGGGGTATTGTTCTCTTTCAAAAGAAGTACGCTCTGGATCTTCTCTCATACACTAAGATGTTGGGGTGTAAATCGATATCATAACTTATGATTCCAAGCCTAAAGTTTACTACTTCAGGTGAGGAGTTGAGAGATCCAATTGTTTATTAGAGGTTGGTAGGTAGGCTTTTCTACCTAGCCAACACTAGCCCAGACATTTTATTTGTCATCAGTCAAGTTAATTAGTTCATACACAAGTTATGTCAGTGTCATCTGGATGCGGTATATCATATTCTTCGGTACCTCAATTCTTGTCCTAGACTTGGGTTGTTCTATGCGTCAGGGTCTTAAATCAATTTTCTAGCCTGTTATTCAAATTTAGGTTATGTCGATCTACTATAGTCTTTTGTGTTTTTCGAGGGACTCATCTTATCTCTTGGAAAAGTAAGAAGCGGGCAGTTGTCACCCATTTATCAGTAGAGGCAGAGTATCGACACGTGGCACATGTGAGGCTATTTGAATATGATCTATTCTTGGTGAGTTAGGATTTCTAGTGGCTTTTCCATCTACATTGTATTGTGATAATTGATCTATTATTTAGCTCGCTTCTGATTCTATACTACACAAGAGGACAAAGTATATAAAAATCAATGTTCACTTTCTCTGGGAGAAGGTTAGCTGCGGTATTGTCACCCCCATCGTTTGTGGGGACTAGTGATCAAGTTGCGGATGTCTTCACCAAATCGGCCATTTCATCCATTCTCCGGGACTCCATTGTCAAGTTTGACACAATTGACATTTTTGTACCTAACTTGAGGGGGCGTGTTAGAATTATAGTCTAGTTATTAGTTTTTTACTTTTTGCCCTTTTCGCCCTTATTATGGTTTTTATATCTTACCTAGACCAGAGGGGTGTTTTAGTCAGTTGCACTCTTACTTGACTATATATACGGGACTCTGCACTTAGTTTCTTTATCTCTTTTACTCTCAACAATTCTAGTATCAAATGTCAAATAGGCATAAAAGGAGTTGATTACAACATATCTATTGACAACAAGTACTTTTAAGCAAACTAAGCAATTAAATGTTAGCTTTGATCCCTTTAATTAGTCATTTTCACTTGTGGAGATATCATAGTGAGACGAGCTATATTTATTTTATAGTAAAAATTTCTAATTTTTTTTAGTTTTCTTAGATAATCTATTTTATTAGGTCTATTTGAAATGATGTATTCATATCGTATCATACCTGTATCTTGAATCCGTATTCATGCTTCCTAGGTGGATAGTTATTTGCTTCTTGCAGGCCAGTGAGCAATGCTTCTAGAATGTGCTACACATCACTTAACAAGATGTTATAGTGTGAATAAAGTTCTTTTTTTTCTTGACCCTTTTTGGCCCCAATTTACTACAACACATGTAGATTAAATAATCTTTGCCATTACTATGAACTTTGCATGCCACATCGTGCAGGTCTTAATTTCTTGATAGGGAATTTTATTAATTGCCAATTTTCCGTGGACTTCATTGTTTAGGTCTTCATTCTTGAAGACCTGGAATATTATTTTTCGAACTGCAACTTAATAAATTAAATTTGATGTTGCACAATCAAAGTTTTTATATCTATGTTTGTTTGCACAGTCCCGAAGGCATTGAGGCACTTTGTTCACACGTGGGAGTGGAACATACTGATGTCAGAATATTGATGCTTGCTTGGTATGTAATGTGTGTTTTGACTTCTGACATCAATGAGCCTAATTTTAACTTTGTGACAGTTTCCATGTTCCAGGAAAATGAATGCTGAAAAGCAAGGATATTTTACGGAGGTGAGCACATAATTATGTATGTTGGTTTGGTTATGTTCCAGGCAGGACCTTGAAGATATTGTCCTTCTTATTATTATTCTTCTACATTCAATGCGACCTTCTCTGGCTTTTTGCTTTTCTTGATATCAATATTAGGTGTGCAGCGTGCTTAATTTATGCTTCATTCCTTCTTAGGTTTGTTGGCTGGCATTTATGTACATACTTCGATATACAGGTTGATTGGTTTTTTTATGACTTTCTTGTGATATCATTTTACCTCATTTTCCAATTATGTGGATACTCTCTCATTTGTGTTACTTTATTCCATCTGTAGACAATATACGTGATGTGTCTCGAAATGGTCACTTGTAATATTGATTGGTTGAATTCTATGAGTTATCGAGTGAAAATAAAATATTGATGAGATACTACTTTGTTGCTCACTCTGTCTCCCTATTTATTTTAACTGGTGGATTAGCTATATGATGTAATTGTGTTGAGGTGCCCTCAGTTTTCTTCCATTTGCAATCCAATAAAATATGGGTCTCTGGCTAGATAACAACACACTGTAGTGTGCTGTTGGTAGATAATCTGGAAATTCTGTTTGTAGATGGTTTTAATTTCAACAGAGAGGGCACACCTAAATTTACGATCACTGATCCTGTTCTTGTCAGGATGAGTGGCGTAGAGGCTTGAAAGCTCTTCGGGCTGACACTATAAATAAACTGAAGAAAGCACTATCAGAGTTGGAGAAAGAGGTACTTTATAATGACTTACACCTGGTGTAGTCGTTTGACTTTTCCCATGAATAATAATGAAGGCTACTTAAAATGACTATTGGTTTCCTTTATTTTTATTTGAAAAGGTCAGGAAGCCACAAAATTTTGAGAATTTCTATTCTTATGCATTTCGATACTGCCTAACAGGTGAGCCTAGAGTTGATAGGCATGTGGTTTAATGAAATGAAAGCGATACCTTGGTTTTTTCAACAGTGTCCTGTTTTTAGTGATTCTAATTTTCATCATCTTTTATCTCTTTCAGAGGATAAGCAGAAGTGTTTAGACATCGAGAGTGTTTGTATATTGCTGGATCTTGTTCTAGGGTCCAAATTCCGACCCCAAATTGATTCATTGACCAAGTATCTTAAGGTGGGCAGATGGTTGTAACTTATTTATCTATTGGCACTCTTAAGTTCTATGTTGAAGTATATGTAAAGCTAGTAAAGGGTGTAATGTGATGATGGCTGTGCTCATCTAACTAATCTGGGTGTGTTGATGCATGTTGGCAACTTGGCATAGTAAAATGGGTATCGCATCCATGTTTTGGTCAAATTCTGACTAATTGTCAAACTACCTGTGTACCATTTACAAGCATTTGGACACGTTTATTTGAGGGAAAGCTTCACTATCAACTTTTTGTCTAATTGCATTATTTGTCCGTTTTGATATGTTTTTATTTCTTTTTCAAATCAGACCCAGAGTGATTATAAGGTGATAAACATGGATCAGTGGACGAACTTTTTCCGGTTTTGCGACGAGGTATCTTAGTTGTTATTCTTACCCCTTAATTTAAAAGCTTTTCTTGTGCCTCGGTTTCTTTCTTATTCATTAGGTAGACCAGTGGATAACAATTTATGAAACCAGATTTAGTTGTATACGGTGTTTCTCATAGGTAATACCAATTAGGCTATCTAACAAGTCGTGCCACTTGACCAAATATTCAACCATACTACTTTTGTTGGGGTTAATATTATTACAATTGTTGAATCATTAATTACATTTTGTATCTATATTGGAAGAAACTCATCAACAAATCAACATGCAAGTGCTGTTTGAAAAGAGGCAATGATTAGTATGTGTAGAAGTCTCTTGTTTGGATTGATGTAGTGATATTTTTGTGCCTGATTAGTCTGTGATTTATATCATGGGCTGAAGTACCTATAATAATTGCACTTATATTCAACGTTATAGGTCATTGGACAAAATATGGATTTGCCACTACCCTGCGTTGACATAAGGTCTCCGACTCGTAATAGACTAATGACAAGTCTGTCAATGTTTCGCTGCTTTGAGACAATGAAGTCTCAGAATTCCGCAAAGATTACTGTGTGATATTTCTCCAAAGACTTGGAAGGCCGCAGCCAATTCCCCTTATAACCCCACTATATTTGTTTTTATTCTTCTGTTTGTTTGCTTCACCTATGGGAGTTTCTACCAATTCCACTTTTATTCATTTTGCCAGAGGAATAATTTCCCTGCCTTGCCTAATTGCAATATGATTGTTTACATAATAATATCAAGAAACTAATACAACATTTCTAGGAAATAAAGTGTGGTTTGAACAGCCCACCTTTTGCTTAGAGATGTTGCTTGCCTTGTATACACGGAAGCACGGACACGGACACGGACACGGACACGGACACGGACACGGACACGGACACAGATACGGATACGGTACAAATATGACACGATACAGATACGACAATACGGCAAAATTTCAAAAAATAGGATGAGTGTGGTTAGGATATGTCTATATATATATATGTATTCTATGTATATATTAAAATGTTATTACTATACTAGAGATATGAGGGATTAAGAAATAAAACACATCTAAACTAGATAATTTGTGTTACTTACATAGGACTGCTTAATGGTGTTTTAAATTCAGGATTCTATGTAATTCTACAGCTTCAGACGTGCCACCCTTTCGAGATTTCTCAATTTTTACTTATTATGTAATTGCAATAGACTTCATTAGCTTTGACATAAGCCATAAAACTCATTATTCAAGCTGACCAAATTATAAAGAAATGACCAATCTTGTGATATATGTAATGCACGTTCAAATGAACATGCACAGTTTCTAAACAACCGACCTCATTATGAGGCAAATGTATTTACCGTGAATATACGCGTGTTTGACAAGTGTCCAACAATGATAAATATTTTATTTATTATTCGATATGTACAAAAAGTATCCGATACGTATCCGTAAGTATTCGATGAGTATCGGTATCTGATACGAATCGAATATGGATACATCACCTTGGTCAAAGTATCCATGCTTCATAGCTTGTATATAACCTGTGGCTTCCTTTACCCCACCTCCCTTTCTTTTTGTTTCTGATAGTGCAGAGTAGGCTGTGAGACCCATATTGTATTAATGCATTTGTAGTTTTTAATTCATGTTTGTAATTTTTGTTGGCAGATAAGCTTTCCTGACCTTCAGAATTATGATACAACCCAAGCTTGGCCCTTAATTCTGGACAATTTTGTCGAATGGATGAGAAGGACACAAAGCTGACGTTGCCATGTCCCTTGATTCCCTTGTCCAGCTTACACATCTAATTAGACAAGGTAGTACTTTGGCCTATCTTCTTGCCATTTCTTTCTCAACCTGACTGGTTGCGACAGTTGTTTTAAGTTGCCTCATTTGACATCCAACAAAGAGCGAGTGATTGGAATGCTATCCACGGTTTTCTAATTCTATTGTGATTGACCCCTTTTCAGGACTGCTGTACGTCTCTAATACTTATCCTTCTTCATTGATCGCTTTACTAAGAATACCTTGCCGGATCCCTCTCTCTTTCAGAGGCTAGATACCAAAGTTTTGTGAGACATTCTTAATACATGTCTGTTCGTTTTTCTTTTTGGCAATATCAACTTTTTACTGTTGAGGTGATCAGTTCTATAATCGAAAACATTCTGTCAGAACTTAGAAACCAAAGATGTCAGATCAAGTTTGTGATACTGTTAAATTCTCGAGCTACATGTCGAAGTGAAGCACACCGAATTGATATTTCTTAGCTTCTCTGTTGTTGAAGTGACCAATTTATGCTTTGAAAGTTGCATAGAGCAAATCCTCTCTGCCTTTGTTGTTAATTTGAAATGCCTCTTAACTATGATACCTGTCTCAATTATCATGGTTCTTGGTTTAATGTGGTCAGAGTGTTACAAATTAGATGGAAAGTTCTCATTTTGGCCCGAACTATGTGATTTTGTAATAAAATTTTGATTACAGAAAAATCTTTTTTGCCCAAAATGTAATGGACGTTTAATTTTGGGGCAATTTGAAACAAGTTCAAATAGTCAAGGGGGATAAGTGAAAAAGTCAATAATTGGGGGTGCAAAGTGAGATCGAGGCCAAAAATTTGAATACCCTAATTCAATCCTTGGCCAAAAATCATACATAATGTAATAGTATGCGAGGAAGTTGTCGTGCCCCTCAACAAATGCACGTAGGCAATATTGTCTCGGAAAGTTTCTAATCAAAACTACAACGAGATTTTAATGGGAGCCAAAATCTAGAATATAATCTTTTAATTTTTTAATATATATTGGTGGATCGTTATTATTTAGAAATAATTTTGAATGTATAGTAGAGAATAAATTGCTCCTGGAGCATGAAGAGAAACATGAAAGATGGCACAACTAAATCCCTGAAGAAAGGACAAGAAATCAAGTCGTGCATTTGATAAGGATCGACTCCTTGGTAGACAAAAGTTTAATAAAATTAAATATGATCAACTAAACTAAACTCGGTTAGAATTCTTTGATGTCAGAGATCCCAATAGCGGCTATCGACCTAGCAAATCCTCTGTAACAATATATCTTATGCAAACAGCCAACGTTATTTTACTAAATTTGATTGTGACAATGAGTTCATGGAAATGGACAAAACCCTCTTGAAAACAAGAAAGCAGGCCGAGGAAACCTAGATGGCTGTTAAAAATAGTAGACATTAATTAACCCACTTCAGTTAGAATCTTCTTAGCAAACCTCAACATTAACCCCTCCAATTATTGCAGCAAACCAACATAGAATATCGATAAAACCAGAGATTTAGACATCATAAACATCAATATATGCATAGTACACACACCCTTCCATGAAAAGAACAAGGATTCAGTGATGGCAATGGCAAGACAACGATTTTTGTTACTCTTTCTGGCCACCATTGTCATTGCTAGTGCAACAAGTTCAGTCAATTCTGCTTCTGCTGATTGTTCACCTCCTCCTTCATACTCTCCAAAGGCTTCTCCTCCTCTTCCATGGGCCCTAACATCACCACCCGCAATTAGTAAAGCCTCACAAGCTTCTCCTGTTGCAGCTCCTGCTTCCCCCATGCCATGGTTATGGCCTCTACAACCAACCCCGGAAATATCCTACACTATTACACCATCATCGTCTCCAACGCCTCCCTCCCCAGCCCCATTTGCACCTACATCGGCCCCTGCACCGCCCTCTCGTGGCATCAAAGGGGCCTATTGGCCTTCAGGACAAGCCGGCACACTCCCTCCCTCGATGATCCCTACTTCTTACTTCACTCACATCTTCTATGCATTTGTGCTGCTTGATTCCACAAGTTACCAAGTTTCCATCACCCAAACGGACCACTGGGTGATGCTGAACTTCACCAGCACCCTCCACGCCAAAAAGCCACCTGCAAAAGCCATTCTGTCAATTGGAGGGGCCAGTGCAAGTGCTGACACTTTCTCCAGTATGGTAAGCAATCTCGATAATCGAGCAGCATTCATCAAGTCCACTATTGATGTAGCTAGAAAGTATGGTTTTGATGGCCTTGATCTTGACTGGGAATTCCCAAACACACCACAAGACATGTCAAATCTCTTGGTGCTCTTCGAGGAATGGCGTTCTGCAGTTAATATGGAGTCAATTGTGTCTGGCAAGGCTCAAATTCTTTTATCTGCAGCAGTTTACTTTTCTTCCAACATATCTCTTTTAGGCGTCCCCCGGACTTATCCAGGAGACGCCATTAGAAATTATGCCGATTTTGTGAACCCAATGTGCTATGATTATCATGGCGCTTGGAACACATCTGTCACTGGAGCTCATGCATTGCTCTACGACAAGTCCAGCAATCTGAGCACCAGCTATGGAATCTCTACATGGAAAAACAATGGCGTTCCATCAAACAAGTTGGTCATGGGCATGCCAATGTATGGAAGAACATGGGAATTGAAGGACCCGAATCACCACGGAATTGGAGATCCTGCTGTTGGGATTGGTCCTGGCAATCTAGGGGTCATGACCTACAGTGAAATTGTGGATTTTAATCTGGGACACAATGCCACTGAAGTGTTTGATGAAGAGACTGTGTCAACATACTCTTATGGTGGAAAAAATTGGACTGGGTATGATGATACAAGATCAATCACAGACAAGGTTAAATTTGCCAAAGCTCAGGGTCTTGGTGGGTATTTTTTCTGGGCACTTGGATTTGACAAGAACTGGACCCTCTCCAGGGCAGGTAGATTCTAAACCTTCTTCTGTGTTACTATTTCTTAATTCTTAACACCATTTCTGGGGTAGACTAATTAATCTGAATCAATTCACGAATTACCACAATTTTTTGACTTTATTCCTCAAATACAGTGATACATGACTTATTTTCTTATTCTATCATTGTTTATATAAAAGCGTTTATTTAGTCCATATTTTTCAATATAAAAACATATTTGCAAAATATAATTTAATACAAAACTTTGAGAAGTGTGGGTTAAACCCACGCCTTTCCATTATAAAGTGTGAGTCAAATTTATGCTTTAATGTAAAACGACGGTAAATTAAGAACTAAAATTTCGTGGAATTAGGAGTTCCATGAATCAACTTCATCCCCTCTCCTTTGGGAGTAACCAATATGAAAGGCTTAGCAAACATCATAATCAATATTAACTTTAGCTCAATTGATAAAGCTCGGATTTTTTTTTTTCCAATGGTCAGGATGTTCCGGTCGGTTGAAGCTCACTTCGATTAATTTTCTTTCTAATTCAGTCAAAGACAGATTATCTACGCAAAGACTAGAGTATTCATGAGAGATAAATTTTTTTTGGTGGCGTGATTCCAAAAAGTTATCAAAATTTAAACTCAAAACGTTTAAATTTACGACTTGTCTTTGTTAACATTAGTAATTGTCATGACAAATAAATGGGGCTTAAGTAATTTATATTTATCTAGTAAAAATGCAAAATCTGGTGTATAAGGCTCCTATCACTACAAGGATTGGAGAAGGTCAGTTGTATGTAATCTTATTCTTGCATGCATGCATGCATAGAGATTATTTTTATAATTCAAATCTAGGACTTTTATATCACAATATAACAATCTTACCGTTACACCAAACTCTTAAGTTTATTAGTTAACACATCAAAAGATAGCAATACAATATTGCCGAAAAAAAATTGATACCATACCCAAGGGCCACCCGACATAAGTTGAGACGACAAGAATTTTAAATTAGGCCCTATAATTATCTAGCCGAGTAATAAACATAATACTACATAATTAGCATGACATTAAAAATATATTTGGGATATGAAAATACTCGGTAAGTTTTTGTATTCAACTTTAATTAATATATATTTTTCATAGATAACAAAAGTCAATTTACTTTGGGTGGGACTATTCTCACTCCCACAAATATCCATTCGCACTCCAGGTAATTTTTCAATATCAAACTATTAAGTTCACGTGTTCTATATCCACCTCATGCTACATACACCCCTTTTAATTAGTAAACTCACTTTATAAATTATATATATTAATTAGAGTTGCATTCTTTATCTCATTTTATGCACTCACAAAAATATTTTTTCTATATAATTTTTTTCAGTGAAATACAGGTTAGTATAACTTCTCAATTTAATTTTATATTTGATTTCATATTTGTTATATGGATTTTCATTATTTTTGATATATTTTGATATTTCTGTCAAGTTTGCTAATTTTTTATTTATAATTTGTGTGTGTGTGTGTGTGTGTATATATAAGCTTCAGGTTGTTTGTTCTTTTTTATATTTTTGTTATTTTTTTTCTTGTTCGATTTTGTGTTTATGCTTAATGCTTATTTTTTTGTTTCATATTCAATTTTGCGTCTTTTAGTTTTGCTTGTTCTTTTAATATTTGCCTTATTTTTTTTCTTCTTATTTCGGTTTTCTTATTTATTTTTGTTTTTTTTTCCTTTTTTTCTTTTTTCTTGTTTCGGTTTGCTTATTTCTTTCTTTTTTCTTTTCTTGTTTCGTTCTTTTTTTTTCTTCTTGTTTTGGTATGTTTGTTTTTTTATTTGTTTCGTTTTTGGTTGTTTTGTTTGGTTCTTTTTTTTTTTTTTTTGTTTCGTAAATATATTTATGCATTTAAATTAATTGTCTTATTTTATTATTTTTTTCTTACAATGATTTTTTTTATTAAAATAATGTACATAGAATGAATGAGATTAACTATTAATGAAGTGTATGTAGCATAAAGTGAATTTAGTTATTAATGAGGTGGGTACAGAAGGGATGAACATGGGCGGAGCCACATAGGGGCGAGGCTTAAATCTTTTTTTAAAATATTATATGTATATTCATATTTATATATTTAAAAAATTATACATATATTTTTTGCTTGTGCCCACCCTATAATTTTCTTATTTCAATTGTTTAGTCCTTTTTATTGTATTAAAACTTTCTCCATATGACCTTAATTTTATTATTTATAAATTTTTACAAATGAAAGTTGTTGCAATTGACATTCATTTAATTTTTTTTTATGAGAAATCATCTCTATTTTTATTCGAGTATTGATTATAATCTTTACTATGCGTCAATAGATTTTCAATTTTTTTTACTATGTTTAGTTCTTAAATTTTAGTTTAGTAATTTTACTATATATGCTAATATTTCAATGATAATGTTTGGAACATCATGTATTGAATAAATTTGATGGGTTGTTAGTGAATAACAGATGTTTTTTAATTACAAAAATGACAATTAAATCCATTTTTTAACAATTGTTATAATTTGTCATTTTTTATACAATATACATTATTTTTTGGCATTTGTTTTTATGTTAAATAGACTTAATATATCAAATATGATATAATAAATATAAATATATTATATAGTGTGATTGGTTAGGAGAAAAAAATTAGAATTCATAATTAAAGTGTTCACCCTGAGCAAAATTTTTGACTCCGCCCCTGGGGATGAACTTTGTAGTTTGATAATAAGAAATTAAATGGAATAAAAATAGAGATTATGGGCTGAAAATAGCCTCACCCATTTACTTTTCCACATGTTTTTTTTTACCAGTTCAATACACAGCATTTACAAACTACATGTACACCCCCCCTCTTCCAACAAAAAAAAGCCTGCTAGTCCGACCCCCAATCCCATCCTGCTTGCCCCTAACCCCTCACAAAAAAATAAAAATAAATAAATAAAAATCTGCAAGATTAACCAACCCAAAGAGCGACAAATAGACCCAATCAAATATGAAATAATCTTATGAGAGTATTGAACTCTTGGCATCCATACTTCCAGTGAGCGCTAGGTTTCGCATAATAAAAGAATCGCAAATAGATCTCTCCCATAATTAACTCAGATAGGTCGTGGTGATGGATCTGACAACAAAGAACAGGTTGAGAGGGACAAAGGGAACCTAGGGAGTGGTGATGAATTGCCCTGGGAGCTATTCGTTCGATCTTGAGTTTAGCAGATCGTTCTTGTTACAAAGAAAACAGGTTATAAGGGCGCCAGAGTGTTTTTCGGTGTATGCCCTCCGATGATCAAATCAGTTCTTTGTGAGAGGGAAAGAAGAAAACATTATTTGAGGTTCTTGAGAGATGATTTTGCGTACCTTTGTGAAGTATTTTTTAAGGCTATTTATACCTTCCAAGACTCATCATTGTCGGTAGTCTAGGCAATAGATAGACTTTAGAGATGGGGCAGTGTGCCCCCTACTTTTCATGGGAAATGTCCTAGTATTGATTGCTCGGCCTATCAAGCACTTAATGTTGTTTCTTCAATGTAGAGGCATTAAATGCTTGGATCCCTGAGCATTCAATGTTTTTATTTCTCAGCTTATCAAGTCATGGTAGACATCTTATCAATTGATAATGTATTAAATGTCTGTCTCTATTAGTCGCATATCAGCAGGGGTAGTCCAGTCTTTTTATCCCTTACCCTGTACCTTATGCCACGTGTCTAATTCTCTCTAGTTGAGCGTCCAGTTCGATTTGTCATTCTGACTACATTATGCAGTGTCCTCACAGTCCCTAGTCTAGTTTAGGCTGCTTTAGCTGTCAATCACTAGTCTCCTCAGAAGTCGAGGATCTATGACGAGGTTGAAGAGAGTACCCTCGGAGCTGAGGAGACATGTCTTGGAGCCGAGGAACATGTATTGGAGCCAAGTTTAAGCAGGGCGTCTTTGGGGCCGAAGACACGTGGCCACACCAGAGGCAAGAAAGTACTTCAGCGCCGAGGACACGTGTCGCTGATCTAAGACCCTTATAGAAATGTCTCATCAACTGTCCCCAACCCTTTGATCTTTACACGGAAAGGTCACATGTCGTCGGAAGATGGAAGGGTTTGTAATTGTCTCTCATCATTAATTCAGTTGTCAGCCGTTTTTCATCGTTTGGAGATTGGGCGCATTGAATGCGTCTTGTAGTGCTTCGTGCACAATGATGGGGCCAGATGGCCTATATAAATAGAGTCCTCTCCCCCCATTTTTACTTTTTGTACTCTTTACTTTTTCCTCAGAAATTTAACTTCGAAGAACCATCGGAGCCTTGCTGCCTAAAGAATCTCAGTCATCCTCTCCAGCCATCACCAAAATAAAGAAAACTTCACCTCATCCTTTCCCTGGCTTTGTTTCAAAGGAGAAAAAGGGTTCCCCAAGTTCAGTCCATTCTTTTCGAGTTTCTGGTGAGTGCTTCATCTTCTTTTCCTTCTTTTTCACATTTTCGGTGATCTTTCACCTCTTAGCCCTTACCTTCTTTTACCTTTTTCGGTGACTGGTCAACCTCCATAACCTTTCATCTTAGTTCTGAAACGATTTAGGATAGTTTCCTAGTATTGCCTTCGTTTGGGGCTTGATGGTGACCCCTAGGATCCCTTCTACAAAAAATTTTCCTAGAACTCCCCCTTCCTTTTACGTAAGAATGCTGAGGGGCAGGCGTCCTGTTGCTAAGGACCAAGAGGCTAGTACCCCTAGGCCGAGGAAGTGGACTGTAACAGGTGCTCAACAAATTACAAATTTCAGAGCCCTTTACGACATTTCTCGCAACGTCGGCGTGGATGACTTTGACTCTAGACACCATCGCCATGACTCCGGTGCCAAGGAGGTCGTGCCTTTCTACACCAAGGCAATTATGGAGGGTGGGATCAAATTTTCCCTCCCTCCATTGCTTCTTTAGTTCCTCTCTAGGTTCCATCTTTTTCCAGGACAGTGTGCCCTCAACACTTTTAGGGTTATCATAGGGGTGTTGGAGCTCAACAGGCGCCTCGGGGTCAACTTAGGCCTCGAGGATGTCCTTTTCTACTACTCATTAATG